GGTGGGGAAGGGGGGACGGGCAAAACCACGGGCCAGCTGCAGAGGGAGGCGGGGTCGAGGGATAGGTCAAGGTTAGCGAGAGACGGCTATTGATCTGACTTTAAACGCGAGACGCGGAGCGCAACGAGACCAAAGGGGGAGCTGTGAGACAAGACATTAACAGCTTTCGCCTGTGCTAATGATCGCAAGTGCCAGACTGGGGAGAGACGGAGAGAAAGAAGAGACGGAGAAATCACTTTGGAATTCTCTGTTTCCGCCTTCTACCCCCTCTCCCCCCCCCTCCCCCGCTGGAGCTCATTCCAGGAGAAGCAAAAAACTCAAATCGCCCTTCCTGTGGTTGAAACCAACCTGCGCCTTCCCGGCGCTCTGGGGTGGGTGGGGGTTGTTGCATGTCCCTGCTGAAAGGCACCGAGGTGGGGAAAGTTGGCCTTGCCGACCCCTGGGAGGGCGGACAAAAGGAAGCGAGAACAAGTTTGTGTGTGTGTTTTCCAGTCGTTTATTTGTCATCCCCGGTTTTGAAAGCTCCCTGCCCGACGGTATTTTAGAGGGGCGGCCAAGTTATTCTCTGATGGGTTACGCCAAACATGTTTCCCCACCCCTCGTTTCTTTTATTTTGAAATTTCCAGATAGGACTAGCCAACACCTTCAAGATAGACTTCGATCGCCACCTTTTTAGTTATATGGTCCGGGAAAAAAAATAGTAAAGATTTAACGTACTTTTCAACTTGAGCTTATGGGACGCATTCGAAAGACCACACCCATCTTAGCTCCGTTCGAAGAGTTGCTACCCTTGCCTCACAATTCGGAATCGCCTTTCCTAGGAGTTAATTCTGGCAATTCTTCCTCTTTATAAACGCTGCTTATTCTAAGCTGGAGCTCCAAAGCCGCTTCTTTATTCGCTGTGTTTTATGGGGATGGCGGTATACGTTAGGGGTATTCTTAACTTCATGTTTCTATAACTATGAGTGATTAGAACCTGGAGAACCCCGAGAACGTCAATTCTCAGAGATTGCGCCCCATGTTTTAAGAAAGGGTGATTCGGAAGGAAACGTGTAGGAGTCTAGTTTAGACACGGTGTTAGCCACATAAGACCCATTAAAGGTTGACGAGGAATATTTCTCTTTTTGTCGGGCTGATCCCAAGTAGAAGAGGAGAAGGAAGCATTATTTTAATCTGATCTTAACAAGTAAAACTGTTTATGACCGGTTCCTATGCACATATATTCAGCAGAAAGCGCAAAGTAAATTTTACGGAGTAGGTGACATTTAGTATGTAAATACTTAAAACAAGTAAGTGTTAAAATAAGTAAGTAAATATAAACAAGTGGGACATTCACTCTTAGAGATGTATAGGGCTTGTCACTAATATCTCGGGCTCAAGAAGAAAGGTAGACGCATAGTCGCTGGAAAATATGTTGTGTCAGTTATTAAAGAAATAAAATTCTCGGCAAAGTTATGATGGAAATTCTGACCGAGAAAATTATTCACGCGTGGAACTTCATAGCCAAGTGGCTTCCTAGGGATTTTATTTCCTGAGCTTTGCCGCGTTTTCTGTCACTTTTTTTTTTTTTAATTTTTACTTAGATTAAGTACTGGGAAACTACCTTGAGTCTCTCCAACCCGAAGTCTGGCGCCGAATGGGACTGTCGCATTTTAAATCTTCATGGTGAACAAGAATCAATGGGAGGGAGGACATGAGATCTATTTCTTAAAAAAATTTGCATGGTGGGAGGCGAGCGATAAGAACCATTGCTGTTCCTTCAAAAGCCTGAAGGCTCTTCAAATTCCTTCAGCCCACACCCAGCAGCGGATCCTTTAAGAGCCCCCCCTCCTCTTTTTCCCAAGGATTGTTTGGACAACTTTGGGAAACAGCGCGTGCGGATCTCATCTCAAGAGAAACAGCCCCCCCCCCCTTTGCAGGGCGGCGGCTTCCTCTCCCACGAGGAGGTCACCCTTCTCGTGGTACCGAGTTTCGTTCTTCTGTAGCCTAACCCGGCCAAGCCCGAGTAAAAGCTGCAAAGGAGCGAGAGGGCGCGGACCGAAGAGGCGGGCGTGCAGTCGCTGGCCCTATTCGCAAAACCGTTGGGCGGTAGGCCGAGGAAGGTTGGCCGAGCGCCAGCCAGGTCGGCTTAAGCACCGGGGCACCCCCTTGCGCCGGGAATGGCTGCCAGTGAAGAACCCGGTTGGGAGCAAGTCTGAGGGGCCGGCATCACCATCGGTGCCACTATTAAAAGGAGCGCGGAGGGTGGTGGTGATTATGAAAACTTAAGTTAAAGGTAGGGCGAGGCGAGCTGGATCTGGAGAAGCTGCGTTTGGATGTCAGATTTCAGAGAAAGTTAGACGGCTGGGTAGATAAGCCAGATGACACGCAAAAGAGGAAGCAGAAACACTTGCTTATGACACCAGAAACCGGAGCTAGGGAAGCTAAATAGATACCTCAGTCCTGTTCAGCTTTACCTGGAAGAAAGTTCCCTGAATTAATGATGTCTTAATCCTGAGTAAACGTGCATTGCCGGGGCAAGAACTTTTCAAAGTCCGTCGCTGGAATAGTGGAAAAATAACTATAGAAACGTATACCTGCCTTCAGTTAAGTCGAACTGGAATAAGTCGAATTAAATTGAGTAGGACTGGGAAGGCTGGCAGGCAGGCAGGCAGGCTCCTTATAGCCTTTGAGTATGCTTACATCTCTCTTGGAAATGCAGGGGACTTATCAGCATGGGTTGGTTGTGTTCGCTTAGTTTATTAACTAAATAAGCTTGATTAACACGTTATCCTAATCCCTACTTATCTAGCTGTGTCTTATAATGACGTCGAACCCAGCTTCATGATTCAACTCATGGGGAGGGAGTTAGGAACCACAACTCTAAGCTGTACTGAATTTGGCCAACGTGTGAATGAAGTTCAGCCAGATCTCTCTCTCCTCACCATCCGCTGTCTGTTAAGCCTGATCGACGTGCGCGTAGCTAATGGCCGTCTTTCCACCGTTCTCACCCATACTGATGAATGGGCGGAGTACGGAAACTTAAAAACTGCCTGGAAGGGATAATTTCTCTTCCAACAGTAGCTCTAAATTACAAAGAAACATCATTTTTCGCTTCAGTAGTCCCAGATCAAATACAGGCTGGAGTCCACCACAAGTTGGCTTAAATTTAGTGCTGAATATAGCCAAGAGGAAATAACTTCCCAGGTCAAGCATGAGGGCGAAAGAAAGAAGAAACTGTTCTTAGTTGTTTGGGAGAGTGATAACAGTCCAAAGTGTCAGGTAAGGTCACCTGGGGAAAACTAGATTCGACTGCTGCCTTTTGGCATAGGACAGGGATCTCCAACCTTGGCAACTTTAAGCCTGGCGGACTTCAATTCCCAGCTGGCTGGGTAATTCTGGGAGTTGAAGTTCGCCAGGCTTAAAGTTGCCAAGGTTGGAGAACCCTGGTATAGGGCGCGTTAACCTCTTTATATCGTATTCGAGAACGAGTTCAGGAGTTTCATCACTTCAGCCCGCCATCCAACAACTTCTTCGAGCGCAATTAGGCGCAGCGATCTTGGCCTGTTTTCAAGTGCCTCGAACGGTGGCAGCTTAGTACCATTAAGACGTTGCAAGGCATGCTGGGTGGCAGGGCTCGGGTGGGCTGCATTTTTTTTTAGAGGAACCAATGAAATCGTGCGAGCTCAGAGATGGCGGGATCCTTTGCACGGGGTGCACTACGCGACACTTCCGCCCCCTCCCAAATGGGGCTTGTTTGTTGAGTAGTAGGCCACTGGGTAACAGTCCCAGGAACTCTTATGGAAGAGTTCGCCATATATTTTGCTCAAGGGGCGACCCTTGTTTAATCCGAATTGAAAGGCTGTATCAAGCAGTCAATTACATTTATTTAGTGACTTCTCCGTTCAGATGATGATTCAGGCTAACGGGTGAGTCTGGAGTGACCCAAGAACATGGGCATAATTGCCGGGCTTGGCTGCAGCCAAATATTAGGTACCTTAACACCCGCTTCCTATTTCAAGGGAAAATACGAACTGTAACAAGTGGAGTTTCGGTCACTTTTAACGCTTTATGGCGTGGAAACTGGGGGACATAGTGCCAGAATGGAGCTTGGGATGTATAGGTCTTACTGAATATATCTTCTGGGGTTTGTGCTTGGCTGCGTTTGGTGACATCAGCTGGCTCCGCGGTCCAGCCCAGGATGGGGGCTCGGCTGAGAGAGAGGTATGACACCCTCGGGAAAATGGAGGAGCCATGTACCCTATTCCCCCCCCCCCCAACTCCAAGTTCACTCCCATGCCGTGGAAAGGAAGCAGTCATTTTGACCAGGTACTGCTACCAGGTACCTTTACTTCTAACGTCTGAAAAGTAGGACTCTTAAAACTGCTTTATTTGCAGACACCTGGTGAATGCTGGCTCCTTGATCAAAGCTGGAATGTTTCCATGAAGGAGGGGGGCTGTGGAAGACACCCATTAGCCTGAGCGACCGTCTCCATTGAAAGGTTAGGTAGAATCCCAGGCCTGCAGGCGAGACGAGGAAGTTGAGGGCGATGGCAAGGCGCGTCTGTCCCGCTGCCAAGAAACTACCCAGCTCTGGCTGTGGAAGCGCCAGGAGTCGGGTTCGGGAGGAGGGAGTCTCCCTTTGGCTTTAACCTGGCTTGCAAGCCTGCTTGCTTAGGTCAACGCCGCTTCCAGTCTGGACTAGCAGAGCCCCGGGAGTCTACAAGGATCCTTCTTCACGTAAAGTGGTGAGGCGCCTGGGAGAAAGTGAGAGTAGGGCGTGCGTGTGCGTGTCTCCCTCCGCAATCGCGATTCACATTGAGAAAAAGGGGGTGGGAGAGAAATATCTCTTTCCCCACGCAGATATTTGTGTTATTGTAAAAACTGTTGGAAATACACAGCGAAGGTGTTCTGAGCAGAGTCGGGCTGCTATTGCCGCTTCTGCCGCCGCCGGTGCTGCTGCTGCTGCCGCCACCGCCGCCAGTCTGCGTGCAGGGAAGAGAGCGAGGCAGCGTGTAGTTGAAAAGGGGGAAGTGAATGAATCTCTTTTGAGGCCAAGATCCAGCCGCCTGGAAGCTCTCCGAGCAGGTGGATCGAGCAAGGACAGGATGGATTCCGCGGACCTTGGGCGCTCGCTGCAAGCCTCATTCCGGCTGCTTCTCCGGGTTGAGCTGATCGTAGCCACCTCCAACTCTTTCCTTCCCCTTCGCTTTTCCGGAGCCAGCCTGCTTGGCTCGACTAACCCCTTTACCTACACCCTGCTTCCCCCGGGAGACGGCCGTCCCATTTGGGCCTCCTGCCAGCGGCCGGCGGCGGCGAAGATGGCCCGGGTCCTTGTCACCTCCTCCCTCTTCCTAAGACCTGAGAGACCTTTGCTGCTTGTTTTTCATAACTGGAGCGGGGACGTTTGGGGAAGAAAAAAGACATTTCCTCCCGTCTACTGGATTACTCCCCCTTTTTATTTCCCCCCTGAATCTCGTTTTGGCTGTGGCTCTGCGGAAGGCAACCTTGGCTAAGCAATCGGAGCCGCGCGTGTGCTGGGAGTGTGTTTGAGGGTGGTTCCCCCCCTTCTTGTTCTCTTGCAGGGTACAATGTTAAAAAGCCACCGCTAGTCGCCCCCAGTGCTCCTACTCTCTAGGTCTTTTTTGTCTCTAGTGCAGATTAAACGTCACGTCCGCACTTGAACTTGAATTTTATCCCATTGTACGGAGGCAGACCCAGCCATAGAGAGATTGAGCGCTCCCAGGGAACCAGGACTCCGCCATCTTCACATTGCAATATATCTCCTAGTAATAGCCAGCACTCACCCAGAAGCACTGGGGGGCTTCCTTCCTATCAAGACCTTGTGCCAAGCGAGGGGAGGGGGAAAAAAAGCACTGGTAAAAGTGGTGCGAGCAAAGCAAAGCAAAAAAAAAAAGCAAAAAAAAAAAACCTCAAACAGTAGCACTTGAACTGGCAAAGAGGAGACACAGTTTGGGCTATCCCTTTAAAAAAAGCAAAGCAAAAAAGAATTCTAATTAACTCAGCAAGGGTATTTTTGTTGCATTTTTTCTCTGCGTGTGGGCAAATACCAATTTTTCTACTTTTCTGCGAGCGTGTATGCATATAATTCAATTTTCATTTCTTTTTCCTTTTTTTTTTAAAGAAAACCCTCCTGATGGAAGAAGTCCACTTTGCTTTTTCCCCCCTTCTTTTTCTTCTAACCACTCTGGAAAAATAAATGTCAGCGCTTGGTGAAGTTCAAGAAAAGATCTGGAAGCTGTGGAAAAGGAAAACAAAAACCAAACAATCAAAAAGACAGTTGTCTTATGAAAATAAAACCCAAGCCTTCCCCACTTCATTTATGATGTTTGTTTAATTGGACGAAGAACCTCATCCTGAGAACGTCAAGGGGGGAAAGTGCTGCTCTCTTTTGAGTTCTTTATTTTCTTTTTAAAAGAAGAAATCCGTCAAGAAGAGCATAGAAGAAGAGGAGGAGGAAGACGACCGCTCCCCCCCTCCTCCGCTCCCCCCTACCTAAGTCCAGCTCTCCGGGCGATGACCGTGTAAATGCCAGGGCAATGTCCCGTCGCAAGCAGGGGAACCCGCAGCACTTATCACAAAGGGAAATTATCACGCGTAAGTTGTGCCTCGCGAGGAACCGACTCTGAAAGCGAAACGTGTGTGGGGAGAAGCGAAGGGCGGGGGGGCTCGAACCCGGGTGCTATTTGAGCGCCTTGCGCGAAACTGGACAGGGAGAATTTGAGGGGCGCCGGTGGGTGGAAGAAAGTGAGGGGCTTGGAGAGTTAGGGAAGAAGGAAGGAGATTCTGGCCGCGGCGGGGATGCCTGGCAGGCTAAGGGGGACGTGCATGTCTTCTTTTTTTGGGGTGGGGGGGGCAGAACGAAGCGAAAGATGTGTGTATGCCGGGTGCCGAGCGAGGTGAGAGAGAAAGTTTGAGGGGAATTTGTAGGCAGTCGGGAGGGAGCAAGAAGGAAGAAGGCCAAAGAGCCGGCCGAGAAGGGGAAGCGAACCGGGGATGGCGGGGAAGGAGTGAGGGGTAAAGTACGGGAGCTTGAAAGAAGAGGCGAGGCGGGTCCAAAGTTGGCCGCAGTGGAAGGCAGCGGCTGCCGGGGAAGGGGAAGGTGGCTGGAGCGCGGCTGGGAGATCCGTAATGAGAACCACATGGAGGGAACGTTTGGGCCGAGGATGAAGCGGCGAGGCCGGCGTGGGGAGCTAGGAGAGGGGGAGGCGGAGGAGGAGCATGGCAGGCGAGGTGGGGGGGAGATCCAGTGATTGGGGCTGCTTCGCCCCCCCATTAGGGAAGCCCCGCTCGGTAATGGGAGATAGGACCGGACTTGGGGTGGGGAGGGATGGCGGCGATGGACAGGGAGCTGGGCAGGCTCGGAGCCTTTGGATCGACTTCTCCTACGACGAGGTCCGGCAAGCCCGGCACAAAGCGTAGGGTGGTTTTGCATACGATGGGCGTGTGGCGAGAGCCCAGGCGAAGACCGGGGGGAGGGGGAGGCAGATGTATGTGTGTATGGTGGGGGGGAGTGTGGGAATTTTTTTGGTGGGACCTCACAAAGTAATGGCAGCACCGTTTTGCAAAACGCAGCGCGCGCCAGCAGCAAGCTAGAGAAGTCCTGTGAAAAGCGCGCCACTTTCTAATCTTGCAAGAGAGCAAGGTGCTGCTAAGATCCCTATATGGCCCAAAATAATGTAAGCAGATGAGGATGGCCAAGGGGTGTAGAATGAGGTATCCACACGTTGGAGGCAAGAATGGGGGGCGGGGATCCAGGACTTGGTTGTCTGGAGTCGTGGGGGGTCTGGAGCTAAAGGGTCAGTGTCTCGGTTCCAGCTTCTTGTTGCAAAACCTACGGGACTGTTAAATAAAAAAATACAGCAACAACCAGCCTTTTATTTTGCATTTCTCCTTATCTTTCTTTGCTGTCCCGAATATTTTGAAATGCAATAGACACCAAACACTGTTAAAAGTGCCTTGAGGATTTGCAAAGCAGCATTGCTGTTTTTCTGCTTTGTCGCTTGGCATTTTAATAAAAACCACAGCTTAGGTGCAACATAAAGTAACTGTCCAAGAAGGAGATAGACCTGGACTAGTATTCTGGGACGTGGGATGGGGGTGGGAAAGAGGATATTGCAGAGGAGAAAAAGGAGCGAAATCAGAACCGGGAGAAATGCAAGCAGACCCCTGAGAGGAACAACTCCTTTGACGGGTTGCTGCGAGAGCCGCCGCTGCTCTCGGGGAGCTAGGCGAAGCAATGGAAGGAGGCGCGCGTCTGGGCGAGATCCGGAGAGAGGGCTGAGTTGAAGAGACTGTTGGAGGAGAAACAGCCAGGAAAGAATAGAATATGTATGCGAGATTTCTCCAAATTTAAATGAACATAAATGCACACACGGCCCTGCGTCTCCCCTCCCCCCGAGAGTCTAGGACTAGCAGCCATCTGCCAGTAGCATTTGGTGACAGCGGTCGCTCTCGGTCTTTTCTTTGTTACAGCTGATAAAAATGTTATTTGTGAGAATACATCGGAATTATATTGATTGGAGAACGAAGGCGCTCGACCTGGGATGGCGTTTGGCTCGTGAATGTTGTTTTTCTTCTCCCCTCCCCCAGCTACATTTTTTTCCTCCTTCCCCCCTCCCCCCATTTTTGCATTCCCCCCACTTTTACTACTCAGCTGCAGCAGCACCGAGGAAGAAATTCACTTGGTATCTGAGTTTAAGTTGGTTATGAGCGGGGGACTGGATGGCTGGGTTTTAAAGTGGATTTTAAATCCAAACTCAGACAAAACCTGTCACACCTTTTGGGCAAACTATTCCCCCCCCCCAAGAAAAACCCTAGCCAGTTTGTGAAATTCCCAAAAGGGAAGGAAACAGGAGGAGGACTTTTGGTTTGTTTTTGTTTTTACGAATTATTCCAAGGAAATCTTCTGCTTTCTGAAGAGCTCTCAGGTGGACTTTCATTTTTGATAGTAAAGAAAGTGGTGGTGGTGTGGGGGGGAGGGAAGAGAAAAAAGATAAAAGCAATCACAGATGTTGGTACTAGGAGAAGTAACAGGCTCAGTGCACACATTTTGGGAAGAAATTCAAATCTGATTTGATTTGGGAATTTCACTTTCTCTATTGTGAGGACCAACCATCATTACTTTTGAGGTTGATAACAAGGTTTGCTGGAAAGATTTGTGGAGTAGGTTTCCAGTGGTGCTGAAAAATCTTCAGGTACTTCCTTTCTTCCTCAGGTCTGCCATTCGACTTTTCAGATGGAAGGACTTTACAAAGGGTCCTGAGATAGGGCTTCTTGAATTAGGCTGTAGAAAGAAAAATCAGGGAGGTAATCGCTTGTCATGGGCACAAATGGAGGGAGCAGATGTGTATGTTTGGGTATGTGAGTAGAGATGGGGAAGAAAGACAAAAATATCAAGAAAATCTCACTCTGTTTCAACTGTCAGAACTGAGAGAGAGAGGAGAGGAAGACAGGGAGAGAGAGAGAGAGAGAGAGAGTTTCACCAAGATCTGGTTGGACCAATTTTCAGGACGGTATTAATAAATTTTTAAAGAGTAGTGTGACTAAAAAAAAGTAAAAAAACACCAAGAAGTTGGACGGGAAGCACAAACAAGGACCAAATAAATACACCAAATTCATATAAAATTCCCCTCTCCACCTGTATTTTTTCCTCAGTGAATATGAGGTGTTCTGAAAACTGCAAGTATCTGAAAGAGGAAGGATCAACCAGCTTGGCAACTGCCTTTCAAGGTGGATGGCTCTGTTAGGCAGGGATTTCTCTCTCTCCCCCCTTTCATTGGAGTGCTTTAGATTTCAGTCTCTGGATGCTGAAATAAAGATTCTTACCTTGAATGGTGAGCAGGCAGAAAGGAAAATATCTATGGCCTGAGAGAAAAAAAAATTACTGACTGATCCTGTATGATTACTCAGAAGTAAGCACCGCTAAGTTCAGTGCTGCTTAGTATCCAGTAAGTATGTATAGGATTTTCAATTTTAAGGGAACAATCCAGATGCAGTTCAGGTCAGTGGAAGGTTTTGTTGCTATCTTTCAGTGACAGCACTCTTGACTTCATTGTTATGGTATTTTAAATTTATTTATTTAGATAAATACCTCTGATTTCTCTAAATTCCTTCTTGATAAATGTATCTCACCTAATCTGTCAGTGATAGATTAATGAGTTGATGGAGGAAAAACTGGCTTGTTTTCTAGTGAAGGATTAGTGGGAAAATAGAATGAGTTGCATTTAATTTAGAAAATTAAAATGGATTATGAGGAAAATGCAGACAGAAATGTTTTAGGATTTTTCTGTAGTACATAATAATGTTAATTAGTTTTTTTACAACAGAATTTCTTGTTTAATAGCTAAAACAATAAAATTTGAGCAACAGCACTACAGCTTCAAAATGAGCTTATAAGTTAGAATGCAATTAAAGAAACCAACCATCAAAATAAATCTCATTGTAATATATAGCTGAGTCTCCTCTAAGACAGTCTTTTCAGGGTGGTGGTATAGGATTAATAATAGAATCACACCCTTGCTTTGCAAAAATAAATTTGCCAGATTTCTAGAATTCTTCTACTCAACAGGTGGCTTGCTGGTTTTCCTTTTTGGACCATGCTAATTTGAAAAATGTCATCATGATCTCAGTAAAAAGAAAATATTTTAAAGTTTTCTGTTTTTTTTTTTACTGAAAAGACTTCTCTCATCCAGAAGCAATTGAGGAAACTAACAGATATCCAAGCTAAGAGATTGGTTAAACTCAGGAATTAGTTAGAAATAAATTTGTAGAAATGGTTTAATTTCTGTATAAAATACGAGGCTGTGGCATGTGTGTGTGCAGCAGGTATTATACGCTGAATTTTATTGCTTCCTCCATTATCCACACCTCTACCTTGAATTGTACTTCATAAATTGTACAGGATGTATTTTAGTCAAAATTGCAAATGGTAAATTATTTTATGAGACCTAGTTTGGCTTTAAAACTCTATATCCCTTTTCTCTCACTAATTTTTAGACGTTGCCTAGCATTCAGTCTGCCATCTTTAGATTTCCTTTGAATGATTTAGTTTGTTTAGGAGAAATAAATACACCAAGGAATAAGGAACAGTTTTGCTTTTTGTTGATAGGCAAATACAGGGATTAATTTGTTAGGCTTATTTAAGCATCTTAGTAAGCATGGAGATACACATGCACAAGCAGAGTGGTTCATTGAAAGCCAGGTTATTGTGTGTCTTTTCTAGTTACATGGAAGTATGAGTTGAACAAAGGCTGTTCAAAAAATGAATTTGGTCTAGGTAAAGGAGGCCAAATTTTTCATGTCATCAGCTCTGGTTGGCACATTCAGCCTTCCTTATCAGAATGAAGTGGGTTTGAAGCTTGTTCCATTAGTTTAACTGAACACATAGCAAGGATTTTCTTTCCCGTTTTCTGTTGAGATTGCTCTGCACTCTCTTGTTTGTTATTACAAAATACTCTCCAAAATAAACTTTCTTAGTTTTTCAGTTGTCACATTGGTGATGATCAGTAACTTGCCTTGACAGCTAGGGGGCGCTCATAGCCTGTCTGATAGAGATTTTGTTTTCCAGCATCTGAGAAGGCAAGGCAATAATAGAG